CACTCATATTTCAATGTTTTGTTGTTTTATGTACTTGACCGGCTTCTATAGTATCATAAAATGACTTGGGCTAGAAATATATATGTGTGTGTGAGGATGGGGATTTTTAATACAGGTATATTGGAGGGCGCTCATGATAGTATTATATTGTTATATGATAGTTTAGAGGTTGGTTGTTTTGACCAATTGGCAATTTATAAAAATATGTAGCATTAATTTGTATGGCTAGTTGACCATGTGATGGGACGAATCATCTTATTTAGTATTATTACCTTTATTATGAGAGCTACTACAATGACTTAATGTGGGTGAGTATGAGTCTTTGGATATCTTTACTTTCTTTTTTATTTTTATTTCGATATCAAAATATGACCTATCCTATAATAATATTTTTTAATGGTTTTATTACCGGTTTTCTTTGTTTGTGTTGTGTTAGTCCAGTTTGGGTATTTTTTGAGGGGTTGGGACTAGGGTATATTCAGAACAATATATTTGGATTTATGTAGTGTCAATGTGTCAATCTTTAGCGAGCTTCTCTTATATATTATGTTGTATGGCTGTATTTTTCACATCTATTCAGTACTTATTTCGAGATTTTATCGCAATCATGGAGCAATTTATCATTTTATCTATTCGATGAGATCGATAGAGTCGAGGAGGTTTTTTAAACTATACTATGATGTACGGAATAATCACAAGTAATATCATTATAGTATCTTCAATACTAATTTATATAATTGAATAATAATATAGATGGTTATTGCTATTTTTTGTGTATGACTTTTTTTTTTATTTTGTGGTGAATTAGGGAGATGCGAGTTAGATATAATAGTTCTCATGATTAATCTGTAGGGATGCGGGAACGAGGTCAAGTTTTGTATAAGCACGGTGTTTGAGCAACACTTGGGCAGTTGTGATTTTTTTATATTCATTTCGTTTGATTATATAGGTTTGCGTTTCTGGGTGCACTTGTGTTATGTAGTTGATATTGTCTATTGGTTGGTGTTGCTTCTTTTGTGTCACGGTTCATTCTTTTGGGTGTTGGTTTATTTGAGCTTTGAATGAGTTATCTTCCTTGTGTTCTTTAATTCAGTTTAGTCATTATTTCATTTTTGGTTCTTTATTATTTTGCTGAGTGATTTTGTTAGTTGATTTTTTTTTTGTTTCTTTCAGTATTATTTTGTACTTTTTGTGTCTTCTGCTTTTGTTCATATTTGTTGTGTTTTATTTTTATAGTTATTTAGTTTTTGTTTTATGCACATGACTTATTTTTTCCTGATTTATTTTAGTTTGTTTGTTTTATATTAATTCGTATATTTTATCTTTTTTTATGCATTAATTTATAATATATGTTCTTTAGTGTTTTCATGTCGTGTTATTTTTTTATATATATATATTATATTATGTATATTATTATAGTATTATGTATACTATTACTATTTGTCTTCTATATATCTTTAGTTTGGCGATGTTTGTTTCATGCATTGTGTACTAGACTGAATGCGTTGAATTGTGTGATCGTAGTATTGATGATGGTTTGCTGTATGGTTCTATTGATTCGATTTGATCGTTTTTGTTGATTTATCGATCTGATTGTGATTTATGATTTTTGGTTCTTTTATTATTTCTTATCCGTTTAGACTCTTTTTGCACGATAATATCGTCAATGAGCCGCCTGTAAAGTAAGGGATGGAGTTCGATTTGCTACTGTCTTATTAATCACAGATAAGTACACATCTTATAAAGCTATTGGGTTGGGAGAGATATATCTTTCTTAGTGAGATACCAATAATTATTTATATAATTATAGTATACAATTTTAAGACCTCCTGGCACACACGCAGTGGTAATTACTATAAAATACACTTTAATATAGGAGTTCTGTGTGCGTGTTAGCACTAATTCTATTTTTTTGAGACATTCACATAGTAAATTTATCCACTTCATCTATAGGTCATATACATATACATAAAAAAAGAAGATATAATTAATTGCGTTGACTACAACTAACTTTTTCTAGGTGTGCACCATTGGTGTGCATATAGCGCCCATTAATATGTTTACTTAGTTTTATTCACGTTTTTCGTTTTCGTCTTGAGATATTTATCGTTAAAATATTATTGATGTATTAGGTTGAAGTGGGTGTGATAGTTACTTTAAAGATTTTCACTGGTGTTTGTACACAAAATTGTACTAATACGTTAACCTTGGTTGGTAGTTTAGTAATTATACCTGTTATATCTTTTGTTGGGCATGCGGTAGCATTGATTGAATGGATTGCTTTTGTCAGGTTTGCTTCCATATTGAAGTGAGGGCAACCTGATCTGAGCCGTGACATCGTGATTCATATTATGTATACAATTGTTGGTTTACACGCGGTAATTATTGACGTTGTACTATGAATGAATATATCATACTGTCAATGCAACATATCAGAACATGATCCGAGGCGGTATATGAATTATTGGGTTAGGTTGTACCACTCATACGTGCATAAGAAATTCTGGTGTAAAATTCAATTGTACCTGCATTCATATAAAAAAACTGGTTTACCGCAATATATCAGTCCATTCTTTTCTGGGATGGACGGTACATCATGGATATAGGGCAGAGAAAATATGTCTTTGTGAGGGAACATATTGTCCGGTTGTAACAGCTGTCTTAGTGCTTTATAACTGGTTCTATCATGGGTTGACTTGATTCTCAATATATCAATTTGGTGGATTTTATTGCTTGTGGTATGTAGGCGGGTGTTTTCGTTGTTTAGCTTGGTTTTTAGTTACAATTGTTGATTGTTTGTAGTTATGAGATTTGGATGCATGACTTCTTAGCTTTAGTGTGTTGGAGGTCGTTATGACTTATGCACACGGTTTTTATATTCTTTAGCTTGGACATTTGGAGTTTTGCTGTTGGCTTTTCGGTTATATGTATATATACTGAAGCTTTATATTGTTGATCTAGTATTATGTTTTGGGGCATGTGACTGGATTGACTTTTATGGCTATTTTGGTTTGGGTTTGCTGGACGGATAATATATTTTTTTGTAATAGATTTATTAGATCAGGATGCGATACAGGAGCGAGAGCAGCAGCTAACCAACTACAAGATCATATCTGAGCATCGGTCCTTTATACTCCTCATCTTAGGTCACTGACGATTCTGCACCATAGACCGTCACATCTTGGAAAAGTTCGCTCCTATTTCGTTCCAGCCACACCAGCCACATTAAACAGAAAGGCACCAACAACCACACTCATTGCCGACGTCGCTGAACACGAGTCCCCCGCCAAATCCACAACATGTCCACAACTCCCTTTGGTTGCACCCACATAATCCCAAAAAGGGAACATGCCAGCCCCCAAAGTCGCGAAACAACAAAACAATGAAGAAATAAATGGTCAACAGACTCTGCTTCCACACAACACATACAACAACGATTGACTAACACATGTCCCCGGCGAACTAGATTATCAACTATAAGATTTCGGCCTAAGGCAGCCATCCACAAAAAGAAAACTACCTTAGAAGAAACACAAGGCACCCATATACTCCGCCATGGAAACACACAACCCACCTCCCCCAGCAAACTCCGATAAAAGGAGCGAACAGAAAACCGACCTTTGGCACCAGCCACATTCCAAACCAACACATCTTCCCCCCTTCCCAAGAAGCCCAAACCATATAGAAAGCCAAACAACTCCCCTAACTGACCCTCTTCCTAATCCTGAACTTCACGCCGAAGCTGAATATCATAAACCACCATCTCCCCACCCCCCAAATAAAAAGCAACTGTAGCCTCCCGGTCCCTTGCAATACTAAAAATCAAAGGGAATCGCACCTCCAAAACCACCTCCCCACACCATCTATCATTCCAGAATCTAACCCTCTCCCCAATCCCCACTCGAAAATTCACCCTCTCCCAAACTCCCCCCTCCCCTGCCAAATTCCTTTCCACAAACCTCGCCCATGAGATCCCAACACATCCCCTGACCACCAATTCCCCTCAACAATCCCAAACTTGGAGGCCACCACCCTACGCCAAAAGTGATCCCGCTCACCAGCAAACCGCCATAACCATTTTCCTAACAAAGTCCTATTAAATTGCACCCAACTCCGCACCCCCAAACCACCCACCTCCTTAGGGCAACAAATCTGCCCCCAATCAACAAGTCTGGATGAAAATATTTAGCTTCCAAAAAACTAATATTAGCAACATTTCTTCCATTTTGCTGGTTGTTGTTAGGTTATATTGATTTATATTTCCTTGAAAATATATCTTTACTGAAAGAATCAACAAAAACAAAAATTAAAGGTAGAAAAGGACTTTTTAGAATATGCGAGAAGTGCTAATTTATCAAGGATGAGGGTCTGTCGCTTGATGCAATGGTAAAAGTTTGGGTTATCAAGTGTGAGAATGAGGCATTGTATTATTGTAAGTTCTCTGCTTCCAAAGATTTCCTGATAGTAGATAACAAGAGCAATGAAATATTTTTGTTTAGGCATTAGTTCATAGTTTCTCACTAAAGAATGAGTCATTTTCATTGTGCCTGTCTATTTCTATTGTGGCCAACTGTTAAAATCAGGCCAACTTTGCCTAGGATTTAATCTTGGTACAGGCCTGCATGATGGTATTCATCATTTATTGATGGATTTTTCAGGATTTCTCTGGCTACCAGTCTGAGAAATTTGTCTAATCGTAGATTGTGGAAAGTGTGTTTTCCATTCCTTAGCCAGAAAGATATGTTGCCTTGAAAGAGGGATTAAGTGGAACAGAATTGACTGGGGCTTGTGCCATTCCTTTCCCAACTATATTTGAACTTGCCTGAAGCAAATTTTTATCTTCTTATCTGGAAAGAGTTTGGTTACCAAGGCAATTAGTGTACTTATGGCTCACACAATTTGTCCCATCTAAACTTGATAACACTGAATGAAATGTTCTAAATTTGAACTGTAGTTCACTGTCTGATAAACAAAATCATGTTCTTGTTATGTTGGATCAGGCCATCAATGACAGGATTCTATCCTTGGATTACGGAAACTACAAGGCAGAGATAAGAACTGCAGATGCTCAGGAGTCCTACAAGGAAGGAGTGATTGTTTTAGTAACAGGATACTTAACTGGAAAGGACAACGTGAGAAGGAAATTTACTCAAACCTTCTTTCTAGCTCCACAAGAGAAGGGCTACTTTGTCCTTAATGACGTGTTTAGGTTTGTTGAGGAAAGTGAATCATTGGAGGTTAATTCCATGTCAGTTAATGGCATCAATGACAATACTCTTGTGCCCCCCTTGCCGTCAGATCCAGGTTGGCTTTACTTCTGTGTCCTTGAATTACGATATTGAAGTTCTCTTCATAATTTGATTTCTTTTGTCCTTGTTTCAGAGCCCATTCGTGGTCCTGATCATTCTGTATTGGAGCCTGCTGTGACCTTTGAGGCTGAGGATATAAATAATGGCGCCGAAGTTTGTGATCCCTCGGATCATGAGGAAGAATCAGTTATTGAAGGAGAGGTTATTGACGAGCCCCCAACTCATTCAAGTGAGATTGAGGCTAATACAGTTGTCAATTCAGATACTTCTGCAGCTCAAGAGGGGAAGAAATCTTATGCTGCAATGGTGAGTTTATGCCCAAAGTTACTTCCTTTGCACGCTTTAGTGTTGATGCTTGTGATGTTTATTTGACCGAATTCATTTAGGTGAAGGTAACTAAGGTTACTAAAGCATTTACTCCAGTCTATGTTCCTACCAGTAGCAACAGGGTGGCACCTGCAAATGCTGATCAACAGTCAGTGGGTCCTGCCAAACCAGCTCCTGAATTAGAAGCATCAGCTCCTGTTAGTGACATTGCTCCTGAAAGTACCACTGCTCATGAGGAAGGTATCAATCCTTTTGCTTACTTATCAGCATAAATAGATAACAATTTATTTCGTGATGCTTATTTGTGTTTAAGACACTTGTACATACTTGTCTTTCATCATAACCTGATTCATACTCCTTTATTGTGGACTGCGGTTAAATATATGGAAAAATTACCAATGAGTTCTATTTTTGCTTTTTTTATATATGTCGCTAAAAATTAACAATCAGTGACTTTTTTTGTCATGATTTTTATAAATTGTCACTAAATTTACAATTAGTGACATTTTTTTATGACAAATTTTTTTCATAAGACCTATTAAACAATAAGTCCACTCATTAGGACTTACACGTAAGTACCCTTTTACTTTTCTAATTCTGAATTCGGTATTCTAATTTTGACTCCTACACCTTAAAGTTGAAGGTCACTCCATATACATACGGAACTTGCCTTTGAATGCAACGGTTGCACAGCTTGAGGAGGAGTTCATAAAATTTGGGCGTATTAAACATGGTGGCATCCAAGTCCGAAGTAACAAGGTCCGCTTCAGATGTTACCTGTATTCTTTTCCAACTCAGCATTTTCTTGACACAATATTTACAAGTTCATCTTTATGTGTCTTGTGGTCAGCAACAGGGATTTTGTTTTGGCTTTGTTGAGTTTGAATCATTGGATTCCATGCAGGCTGCTATACAGGTACCTTTGCAACACTCTGTTCTTCAGTCTTTTTAAGTTTTACTAGCTCTATTTCACTCCTGCCCTTGCCCCCTTCAAGACATTCTGAAGGAGAATAAATATTTTCTCTGGAAAATGAAACCTTCATTTCTCCAACTCAATCACAAATTTTTAGGTGACATTATGGAAAAGGTGGACAAAAATTTAACATGGTTTAAATGAATATCTGTGTAATATAACCTTTGCTGGGGTTTTTTCAATTAGAAGTGATAAAGATGAAGAAGAAAAGGAAATGAAGAAAGAGAAATTGACTGGGGAATTAGGAAAAATTCTCAGAGGAGACCATGCAAGTGTCTCCCCCAGGCCTCTTAATTGCAAGAGACAAAGGCACTAAAGTTTATTCAGGCAGTTTTTATTTTATTTTTTTAAATTTTTTGTGTGGTGATGTAGGCTTCGTTGACGGCCCTGAAAATGTAAAGGTAATCTATTCTATTACCATTGGGTCAGGACCGAAGAGGCATAATACACCTAAAATACCTTTCAGAACAACACACATGGAAAAATCTTGTTTAAGTTTCAACTGCAAAATATTTTTGGAAAATAAGTAGAACTCAAAAAATAAATGAATTGCTAAAATCAATATACTATTGGCATAAATTGACTCTAAGCTTGAAAGAATTTATAAATTACGTTTTTCAATCATATAGGATAGATCTAATGTAATAAATTGCTACTTCGTCATTCTCCCCACGTGGTGAGAAACTCAACCTTGAATTTTATGCTTGTATTTCAATCTTTGAGTCCATCAATTGAGATATTTGTAGAACCTAGTAGGTTTTGTCATCTTCATGTGATTTTTCTTTTCTAACTATTGGATTTGTACCCAATCAACTTAAGATAAGTTGTGTCGATGCTTTAACCCCAATGAGCAAGTTGATCCCATCATCATATTGTGGGAAAATATTAATTTATGGGATTAAACAAATGATTTTTGGTCTTTGCTTCTGAAAAACAATAGAGACAGACTAATGTTGATAACTTTGAAACTTGCCTCTTTAGATGCATCATACATCTTCCTTGGCCACTTAATTTGCTGTCAAATTTTCATTATATATACTAGGTAACATGTTTAGTATTTTAAGATCCTCCTTGTTTGGATTTGAATTAGTAGCTGATTGAGCATTCCCAAATGTACTTGATAGAACCTCCATTGATTATTTTTGGGTTTAACCACTACTGAGGTTGTTCAACAGCACCCTCCACTTGTTCCGGGGGCCTTTAACCATCCTTGATGATGCAGGGAAGCATATCGGAAAGAAGAGTAAACAACAAGATCGAACCACAAATAAATCCGAAATAGAGATACTCTCTCTAAGAATGAACAGTATTAAGAAAACTCTGAATTTTTATTAATCAAATATAAATTGTATTGCCCTAAGGCTTATCCTTTATTTATACTAAAATAATTCATGCTAATCAAGAAAATCTAAAAGGGGAAAGATATATTCTTGCTAATCAAGAATATTTAAAAATAAAAATATTAATTCTTGTAAACAAGAAACATAAAATAGCTAAGCTAAATGAGAAAATATAATAATTCTATACTAAACTATAATATTCCTAATCAAATATTAATTCTAAAATATAAAAAATAAAAATATATAATATTTTTAAATCCCGTCTACATCACTTGGCCTTCAATTAGTCTGTGGCAGGCATGAACTTTTTCCTTCATCCTTGAACTGCAGTTGATCTGCAGGCTGCATCAGAGTATTCCCTTTTCTTTTTTTTTTCTTTTCTTGAATTGGGTGTGAGTAAATGCACTGCTAGGTAATCTAAGGCTTGTTGATGTTATGTTTTCCACAATCTTCCCTTCTTTTCCAATAGCAATGATATGAAATGTTCCAAATATTTGAAAAGTCTGATTGTTTAACTTTTCCTTTAAATATATATATATATATATTTTGCAAGTTATTTTTAGCCATTGGTTCTATCCAAGCCAGACTAATGACCAGCTCTAACTGTACCTGGTTGGCTGTCTTGTTTGGTTTGTTCTTGACACTACTGATCACTGCTCAAAATCAGCACTGCTTGCTATCCACACCTGTTAAAAATTTCATACTTTTTCAGGCCTCACCCCTAACAATCAGGGGTCACCAAGCTGTTGTTGAGGAGAAGAGAACTACCACTCGAGGCAAGTTTTGAACTCTTTTTTTCACATGATTATAGTTAGAGAAAAACCCAAGGCTTTTATGGACATTTTGGAGTTGACCTGAATGATGATATAATATGTTTTTTTTTTTTTTTATATTTTACAGTTGGCAGCAGCGGGAGAGGGAGGTACACTTCAGGCAGGGGTGGATTCCGGAACGACAGCTTCAGGAGCCGTGGGAACTATGGTGGTGGCAGGGCCTACAGCCGGAACGAGTTCAGAAACCAGGGGGAATTTTCCGGCCGACCAAAGGGTCCGAGTGGACGAAATGGAGAGGGTTACCAACGTGTTGATCAAAATGGAAGTGAGAGAGGCGGTCGTCAAGGTGGGATGAATAATAATAAGGGTGTTGCTTCAGGGTAACAAAGGTTAGTAAATATATCTTGTCTGACAGGTGATTTTTTGGCAGTAAATGGGGGATATTTCTGTTTCTTAGTCTTGGACTGGTGTTTCTATTTTTATTATGTCAACCCCTATTTTTATTGTTGGGATCGTGATTAGGTTACATGAGTTAGTAAGTTGTTCGGTGCATTTGAGGATTCTTCTTCCATCAATGATGTGAAAAATGTGTTATGATCTCTCTCTCTCTCTCTCTCTCTCTCTCTCTGTGTATGTTATATGTATGTATAGGTTGATGCATACAAAATTTGAAGCTGCAAAAGTAGCTGATTCACTCACTAACCACACAAAGCAGAGCGATTAGAATTGGCAGCCCTACTTCCCGTGGGTACTCGTCAAGGCATCATTTGGTTAGAATTCTCAACTGTTGTATTTGTGTTAGTTGTTTGACCGCTGGTGGTGTGGTGGCCGCGTAGGTGTTCCTTGGACCTTCCTCTCACCAACAGTTTTTGTGGCTGATGGAATAGGCTTCTTGGTGGCCATTGATTTGCCAAAAAAAAATAGTGGAGAGAGAGAGATCCAGAGTCCTCTTATTTGTTTGTTCCTTTTAGAGTGAGGAATGCATTATCTGGGTTTTGCTTTTTTACAAAAAATTGAAATTTATCCAATTTTACTATTTAAGTTGAAATTCCAAATTTATCAAATTTGGATTCATCATGTCTAGCATTGCAATTTGAGCGGATTCAGTTAGATTGAGCGCGGTTCATTCAAGCTCAACTCAAGAGATTTGTCCAAGTTTGATCTAAACTCGACTGTTCGTTCAAGCTCAACTCAAGAGATTTGTCCAAGTTTGATCTAAACTCGACTGTTCGTTCAAGCTCAACTCAAGAGATTTGTCCAAGTTTGATCTAAACTCGACTGTTCGTTCAAGCTCAACTCAAGAGATTTGTCCAAGTTTGATCTAAACTCGACTGTTCGTTCAAGCTCAACTCAAGAGATTTGTCCAAGTTTGATCTAAACTCGACTGTTCGTTCAAGCTCAACTCAAGAGATTTGTCCAAGTTTGATCTAAACTCGACTGTTCGTTCAAGCTCAACTCAAGAGATTTGTCCAAGTTTGATCTAAACTCGACTGTTCGTTCAAGCTCAACTCAAGAGATTTGTCCAAGTTTGATCTAAACTCGACTGTTCGTTCAAGCTCAACTCAAGAGATTTGTCCAAGTTTGATCTAAACTCGACTGTTCGTTCAAGCTCAACTCAAGAGATTTGTCCAAGTTTGATCTAAACTCGACTGTTCGTTCAAGCTCAACTCAAGAGATTTGTCCAAGTTTGATCTAAACTCGACTGTTCGTTCAAGCTCAACTCAAGAGATTTGTCCAAGTTTGATCTAAACTCGACTGTTCGTTCAAGCTCAACTCAAGAGATTTGTCCAAGTTTGATCTAAACTCGACTGTTCGTTCAAGCTCAACTCAAGAGATTTGTCCAAGTTTGATCTAAACTCGACTGTTCGTTCAAGCTCAACTCAAGAGATTTGTCCAAGTTTGATCTAAACTCGACTGTTCGTTCAAGCTCAACTCAAGAGATTTGTCCAAGTTTGATCTAAACTCGACTGTTCGTTCAAGCTCAACTCAAGAGATTTGTCCAAGTTTGATCTAAACTTGACTATTAGACTCACCGTCGAGATTATATCGAAGAGTTTGGGCTAGGTTAAGGTTGCTCAGATTATGAGAATCTGTGTTCAAATCTTAACCAAATTAAATTTAAATTAATAAATTTTCATCTAGATCATGACTAAATTTACATTTAAATTTGAGTTAGTTGGGTTGTACTCCCGAGTTATACTTCTAAGAGGAGAATTCTATGGTACAAAGTGTGTACCATATTTTCCATTTACGATTTTTGTGTTATTTAATTATGGGGGCGGAATCAGGGGAATATTGTGTTTTAATACATTATTAATTTAACATAATTTCTTATATAAGCATTGCAAAAGAAGTATTTCATGAGAAAATTAAATAAATCTAACAAATAATTTTTTAAATTTTTAAAAGTTCTGAAGTTGATTTGATCTCAGTATACAATCAATTAAACCACTCTTTTAAGTTATTTTATTGATTAACATAATCTAATAAATAAATAGTGATGAGATTAATATCCTTAAAACATAACCATCAAATTTACACTCAATGACGTTGAATGTTATGTGTTAATTGATTCATGTAAAAATCAATCAATTAAGACCCAACACTTATTATCTCATTATGAATGAATTTAGGAATGAAATTTTAAACTCTTACTCATAAAAACATATACATATCATCTGATTTTTAAAATTGAAACAATAAGTTACATGTGTTTCTTATATAAATAAATCTGACTTGATAAAATTGATGTTATTATTTAAAATGTAAAATAATTAGAGATCGTTTCACTCTACATGGTGAAATATTAATAAAATAGAAAGTTAGTAAGATAATTTTTACAAAATTAAGAAATCATCGCATTATATATTTTATAAATACTCATAAATATAAAATTAATACAAATTATCAAGGGTAAATTATCCACAAGTTCTTTTTGAAAAGTGTGTATTTTATTTAATACCAAAACCTTCTGAGTAGACTTAAAAGTTCTGTGTGTATTTTTTTCCTCCTTTCTTTGCACCTTACTTCTTATCTTTATCTTTCTTTCTTTGATATCCGACAACGACCACGACCACGACCACGACCATGCCTTCCTTATTTTCTTTCTCTTTTTGATCTACAGTCATCAGCGACCGGTGACCACCATTAATTGGGGTTCACCAGTAACTACCAAGTATCAACTTCTTGATTCAAACTCACTGACAGTGAAAGACATGAAGTTCCAACGAAAAAGAAGAGTAGATCTACATCAGATCTGAGTAAATCTATGTCAGATCCGGCTAGATCTAAGCCAAATAGTAGAATCATATCTCTATATCTATCTCTTTCTTTCGATCTCTAAGTTTTTTTCATTTTTCTTTACTACACGCTTTTATTTTTTCTGTTTTAATAGAAAAAATTAATAAATTTTGAATAAATTGTTTCAAGTTTTTCTTACAACGGTGAAAAACTATAAAATTTTATAATTTCAATTATTTTTGTGTTAAAAGGAATCATATTTTAAAATTGTATAATTTTACAGTTTTATAACATTCTTTAGAACTGTAAAATTTTACAATTTTATAATATTCTTTAGAATTATAAAATTTTGCAGTTTCATAACATATTTTTCAGTTTGATTAATAAGGATACAGTTTCAAAGCTTGTTTTTTAGTTTGTTGTTACATTTTTTTTCTTCTGTCAGTTTATCAATATTTAACACATTTTGCTATGTTTTTCGCTCTAATTTATCTATTTATTCTCTTTTTTTTAATAATATTTTGGACATTCTGGTGAGTCTTCAGTGATATTTTTGATGTCTAGCGAACGTTGTAGATATTTCGGCGACTTCCGGTGACGTTTAGAACATTCTGATGAATTTGTGACGATACTCCGACGATTTTCCGGTGATGTTGAACGTTCCAGCGAGTCTTTGGTAACCGTCTGACGGAAATCCAGCAGTAGTGAGATGTAGCATCGTCTTTAAATTTTATAAAAAAATAAAATTTTTTGGTAACAATTAAAAATATGTATAAATAATTAGTACAAGTGTTTTATTTTGGAATTAGATGAGTTTTGAATTTTGTGTATAGGACCTACAGATAAGTTCCCAAATTATCAAAAATTGGCCCGTACACAATTCTGCCCCTATTTGGTTATAATTTATTGTGGTGTTAGATATGACTCATTATAATGTTTGTTATAACATTATTTATGATCCAATTTTTTTTTTAGTTTTATCTATGATATTTTTGTTATAACTCTTTTTGCTTTTTTTTTTTTTTTTAGAAGTTATAACTGAAGAATATTTGATTGTAACATTTGTAGTAAGCAACATCACAAACATCATAATTTACATATGATACACATCCATAGCATTATCCTCAAATATCGCTTTCCCGTAATTAAAGTCACCAAAATGTATTATAATCAAGACTACAAATTAGTTAAAATTTTGTTACATTTTAAAAGTTACTCTTTATTTTTTTTGGCTTATTCAACAAACTCTCTATTCTTTTTTTAGATTATTTAAATATTATTTTTATTTATTTTAATTAATTTTTTTTTTTTTATAAACTCAACACAAGTAATTTCAAAATATAAAAAGTAATATTTTTTTTAAACTAGGTGAAACCACTCACTACATTTGTTGAGTCAAAATCACCCAAACTAAAATAATTAACTTGATAACTAATTTTGCTCAAAGTAAAATTTTGTGATTTACTCCCTATTTTAACTAAAATATTTAAATAAGTAATTTGATAGAAATACTCATAACAACATAATAGAACATAATTTATTTTGATCTAACAATTTATCTATTTCACCATCATAATAGAAACACCACAACAATTTAGGAGTTATTTACGATGCTCTAAATAAGTGCATTTTTTAACCGTTTATAAAAAATTGTGCAGAAAAATAAAGAGATGATATGATCTAAAAAAAAAAAAAGATAAATAAATACACTTTTTTAAGTACATTCCAAATAACCTCTTACACTAGTTTGTACATCTAATGCGCATCATGTCTATTATAGCATCATCCCTAATTAAGGGAAAATTATTAATTGTTCTTAAGGTATACTGGTGTGAGATTTTAATTTGATTTTTATTAATTAAAACAGTAAAAATTATTATTAATTTGTTTCTTTTTAAAAGATAACTAAACACTTTTTCTTTTAATAAATAATATGAAACAATGTTCAAAAACTAACTAATAACTTCTCGCAATTAAGGTGGATAAACCCAATTGCAAAAAATGGTGCTTAAAAGTTAAACCCGACCCGTCAACTGGCCATCTCTCATCGAAGTCTTGCACGGTGTAAACCAACAAATTAAATCTCAACTTTCAAACATACTCTCCTGTTTGTTTGTTTCGTTTTTTTTTTTACATTTTAATAATATATATATATATATATATATATATATATATATATTTTAAAAAAAATTGAAACTTCCTAAATTAAGCTCCACAAGTTGAATTCCAACAATTAAAAATTTTTCAAAAAAAAAGTTCTAAGAAAGATAAAATAAATAATAAATAAATAAATAAATATTAGACTTTTAAGCTTAATTTGGATTTTTTTAATTTTTTTATTTTTAGATTTACATAACACC